TTATCAAGAAAAATATAAATCTATATCCGTTTCATACTCAAAGTGGGTAAAACATTATTTATCCACCACCCGCTTCACAGGTAAACTTTTTTACCTGCCATTCACTTTGTTTACCCATTTTTTAATTTAAGAGATCTTATAGATAAATTTAAAAATCAATTAAAATATCTTGAATATTAATTAAAATAAAATATAATTTAAAACAATATTTAACATAATATAATCGATAATAAATATAAAATAACATTAGTAGTATATAACACTAAATATTTATTAATCAAGATTTGATTAATTTGATAGAATTAAAAATAAAATAAAATTTTATTAATTATATATATAGTAGGCCAAGGCAGGCGCATGTAATGAGGTATATTATTAAATCCATATCTGTCCTGCACCTATTTCAGGTTTATAATTTTCTACCTATACCCGTCCCTATCCCTATCTTTACGCCCCTGTGCCTATCTTTACGCCCCACTGCCCATCTCAGTGGAGAACCACCGTAGAATTTTCAGATTTTTGAAAGTGTCAAGTAATCTTTTTTGAAATAAGTGTCAGATGATTTTATTGAAGAACCATGCATAGATAGGCCTTCAATCCTATTTAGGCTTGAAGGCTCGAATTGTAAAATTTTCATTTGAAAAAGGAAATAAATAAATGAAGAAGGAATCATTTATGAGGGAAATTCCTTTTTACATTTAACTAATTAGGTGATGTATAACCAATACAGCAAAGTAACATTTTAATCTTGATTCCTAATAAATTTTGTTCTAAATTTTATGTTCAAGTTCTACTTGTGCTACATCATTAGGATCATAGAGAGAAAAGGAATCACTGGACCAGATTCTTTTCCTATTTTGCTAAAAACTTGCCTTTCTCTTAGGAATCAGTAGCCAGATTTGATTTTTTCCTATTATGCTGAAACTTACCCTGCTCTTGTTTTATCCTTGCCATGCGTTCCTCTCAGATAAACCAAATTTTTAAACTGGTCTTTCTTGGCAGCTGTAACAAAATGCTATTATTTGTTATATGCTCTGAAGAATTATAGGAGTATTTGGGAAATCCTATATACAGACTGGGAAAACATTTCTCTAATAGTTTATCGATATTTTGTTGTTGTACATCAGTACTTATCTGATTTTCAGTTTTCTTGTTCTCTGTAGCACTGAACTGCCCAAGGCTTACCAAACTGTTAATGTTCTGTCTGAGGTTTTGAAGGCTGTTAATTTGAAACATTTTACTGAGGTTGATTCTGAGGTGAGTCTTTGGGACGACAAATGTTCATCTGCCATCACCAAGGCTGTTATCCTGGTTCATGCCTTACCTGTTGGGGATAGTATGCAATCAAAGTAATATTTATTTTCAAAATTTAAAAATGCTTCTTTGTTAATCATTATTCTTTTTTTTTTCTCTGCACAGATTTTTGAAGCTCAAAATAAGGTTGCAGAGACCACAAGGAATGGTACTCTTTACAATATTCTGTCTCTTGGTCCTGAAAATATTGGGGAAGCAATGTCAAAATATCCTGAGGTTGCAAACTTCGTTATTGTCAATGTCCTTTTTAATTTCGTTTCTTGTCTTATTAACATTCTTCTGGTATTATTTTCTTCCTCTTTTCCTAATTGAAGATCCAAGCAGCTGTTTTTGCCCTTCGTAACACCCGAGTCTTCCATGGCCCAAGGATCACAAGAGGAAAAAGATGAGATATTCTAGACTGGATTCACAAGCATTTGGGTTCCTGGTATTGTAGTTTAAACAAATTGTATTTC